ACTGGGAAGAAGAGGGGACCCATAGGGGCCATTCCCCACCCAAGGGCACCAATTCCGCCTCCAATTACCCCATTTCCCCTCCAATTACCCCATTTCCCCTCCAAACACCCCTTTCCCCCCAATCCATCCCTCTCCCATTCCATCCATCTCCCACTCCACCCCTCTCCCCACTACCCCCATGGCAGTGCCAGTCCCACCATGAACATTGGGAAGAAGAGGGGACCCATAGGGGCCATTTCCCACCCAAGGGCACCCATTTCCCCCCCAAACACCCCTTTCCCCCCATTCCATCCCTCTCCCAATCCATCCCTCTCCCATTCCACCCCTCTCCCATTCCACCCCTCTCCCCACTACCCCCATGGCAGTGCCAGTCCCACCACGAACACTGGGAAGAAGAGGGGACCCATAGGGGCCATTTCCCACCCCAGGGCACCCATTCCCGCTCCAATCGCCCCCTTATCCCCCCCAATCCCGCTGGGGCCGCGCTCACCGTGCGCGGGCGGGAAGAAGCGGCGCGGGGCGGGCGGCGCGCGCTGCCAGCGGTAGGCGGGCAGCGGCTTGCCGTGGCGCGCGGCGCAGCTCAGCGTCACGTCGCGGCCCACGCCGGGGCTGCCCAGCAGCCGGCACGCCGGGGTGCCCGGCGGCACTGCCGGGGACACCGCCAAATGCCACCGGGCACCCCGGGAACGCCCCCGGGGAAAAAGGGCCCGGCCTCATCCCGGGAAAATCGCCCCCTATTTTCCCATGCAGATGCCACCCCGTGGGAAAAACACCCAGCGTTTTCCCACGCGGATGCCACCCCGTGGGAAAAAGACCCCAGTGTTTCCCTTGTGGATTCCATCCTTTGGGAAATCCACCCAGCATTTTTCCACCTGGATGCCATCCCATGGGAAAAAGACCCAGTGTTTTCCCATGTGGATTCCACGTCGTGGGAAACCCACCCAGCATTTTTCCACCTGGATGCCATCCCATGGGAAAAAGACCCCAGTATTGTCCCCATGTGGATTCCATCCCATGGGAAACCCACCCAGCATTTTCCCACCTGGACGCCACCCCACAGGAAAAAGACCCCAGTATTTTCCCGTATGCAGCTGTGGGGAAAACACCCGATATTTCCCCGCGGTGCCGTGGGAACCCACCTGATATTTCCCCATGCAGTTGTGGGGAAAACACCCGTTATTTTCCCATGCAGTTGTGGGGAAAAGACCCATTACTTTCCCATGCAGTTGTGGGGAAAAKACCCAATATTTCCCCGTGCTGSTGTGGGGAACCCACCCGATATTTCCAGATGCAACTGTGGGGAAAACACCCAATATTTTCCCATGCAGTTGTGGGGAACCCACCCAATATTTCCCCACGCATTTATGGGGAAAAGACCCAATATTTTCCCANATATTTTCCCATGCAACTGTGGGGAAAACACCCGATATTTCCCCATGCAGCTGTGGGGAACCCACCCAATATTCCCTATGCCGCTATGGGGAACCCACCCAATATTTCCCCATGCAACTGTGGGGAAAACACCCAATATTTCCCCATGCATTTATGGGGAAAAGACCCAATATTTTGCCATGCAAATGTGGGGAAAAGACCCAATATTTCCCCATGCAGCTGTGGGGAACCCACCCAATATTCCCTATGCCACTATGGGGAACCCACCCAATATTCCCTATGCCACTATGGGGAACCCACCCAATATTTCCCAATGCAACTGTGGGGAACCCACCCAATATTTCCCCGTGCAACTGTGGGGAAAAGACCCGCTATTTCCCCATGCATTGCTGGGGAAAACACCCGCCCCGTCCCAGCGGCCGCACCGAGCACGGTGAGGTTGACGACGGCGACGTTCCTGCCCGCCGCCTCGCCGGGCACGTTCACGGTGCACACGTACTGGCCCGAGTCGGCCTCGCGCGTGCCGTTGATGAGCACCGAGAGGTTGCGCGAGGCGGCCACGGCGTGCACGAAGCTGGCGCGGCCCTGCAGCGGCGTCTCCTCCGCCTTCACCGCCCCGTCCATGTAGGTGAGGATCTGCCGGGACGCGCGGGTGAAAACGCCCGCCGGCGGGTGGTTATGGGCGGGCAGCGCGCGGCGGGACGCACCTGGAAGGGGTCGCCGTGGGGCGGGTGCAGCAGCCAGGTGACGTAGGGCGGGCGGCGCGAGCGGCTGCTGTACCAGACGGGCAGCACGGCGCCCTCGCCCTCGACGGCGAGCACGGCGGCGCGCGCCACGTGCACCTCGAGCGGCGAGGCCGGCGCGGGCAGCGCCGCTGCGGATGCCGCCGGCGGGGCATGGGGTGGGGATGGGGATGGAGTGGG